ACAGTATGCTGCATGTAAGACATGGCCGCTTGGAAGTCGTGCATGCAGCGCTGCAGAATGTAGTCACGTGTTTGATGGCTTAGGTGTGTTCTAGAAATCCGGTGAGAGGGTCGTGGCGAGGCGAGGTTGAGCTAACAGCGCTGAGTTGTACACGTCTGCTGGAGTGTGAGTGTTGCTCATGCGTGGCCTCACAACTCCATCACTCGGAGTACGTTTGGACAGAGAGATCGGCTGTGACTGCGTATCGGCGAGGGAGTGACGAGGTCACCAAGGAGAAAGTAGAAGACTAGAGTGCTACGCAATCCCAAACATTTGGACGAGCAGGGACATCTTTATGGCTCGATTGCGCGACATTTTCCCTCGCTCAAAGATCAAGAGCGAGTCAAAGAACAAAGGCGCCTTTCTTTGTTCACGAGTCTTTCAAGATGACGATCGAAGAGAAGCACGTTGTAGACATACCTGATCAGGGTCAGATCGCCCCTCGTCGTGTAGATCTGCGAGCCTACTCTGGGCACTCTTCGAGCACGTGTGTGGAGGGGAGCGTGTATGCATACCTTGGCATCCCATACGCTCAACCTCCCCTAGGCCATCTACGCTTCAGAAGGCCTCAAGGTCCCGCGCCATCCTGGAGGCAAGACTTGCGCCCCGTGCGGCAGAGCAAATGGCAGGCAGATCCAATGCAAACCGAAGGGCTGGGGACTTCAAAGATGAGACCAGACATGCGGTTCGATGAGGACTGTCTTTATCTCAACATTTGGACCTTTCAGCGCGCTGCATCTGGCTCAAAGCGACCCGTTCTAGTGCGTCGTTTACGCTCGGCGAGACAGCTCCGTGATACTAGGCTCATTCGATAGACTTGTGCCCTTGCATTCAGTTTCACATCTATGGCGGGGCTTTTGTCACGGGTGGCAGCTCCTTTCCAGGCTATGACGGAGCTAGACTTGCACACGAGGTGAGCTATCGCGTCGTCTGAAAGCATCCTCCACTCTTGTGCTGATCCAGTATGCTCTTCTGCGACTGTTCACAGACAGGATGCGCGGTAGTCAGCTGCAACTATCGCCTTGGAATCTTTGGCTTCCTTGGCTCGCGCGCATTGGCAGCGGAGGAGCCAGGCACCGGCTGCGGCAACTATGGTGAATGGTGCTCACGTGTCCTTGAGATTACATGAAGACGTTCAATGCTGATGTGCGTGTGCCGTCTTCGCCTCGCGTAGGATTTTGGGACTGCGTCGCTGCGCTTCAATGGACGCAGCGCAACATCCAGTTGTTTGGAGGTGACAAGTCAGAAGTAACGCTCATGGGGCAGTCTGCGGGCGCCATCATGCAGAGTAAGTTTTCAAGGAGGAACTGCTTACCTGATCCGGCGCTCACACGAGTCTAGTACCCGGAAAGGCTACCTCTTCCTTTCGGACGCCATACCGCAGTGTCTGTTCTCGCGAGTCATTCTCCAGTCTGGCGTTGCGGCGACGGTTCTCCCGCGCACCTTGGCTTCTGCAGATGCCACATTCGAAGCTCTAGCAATTGCGACGGGTGCTAAAGCAACCGATTCAGACGAAGGGAAGATCGATGCCCTGCGAAACGCAGATGCAACTAATCTACTTGATGCTGGTCTCAGTCTCCCGGCTCGAAGGCCGAGGACAGAGTACGATGTAGGCATCGACACGCCGGCCGATCGCGCACTCGTCAGTCCGCGAGACCTCAAGCTCAAGGCTTCTGGCTTATTTGGACCAGTGTGGGACGGTGTGGCGGTGCCTGAGGACTTTGCACAAAGGGCAATGACCAACTTACCATCGTCAATTGAAAGTAGGAATGGCGCAAAGGGCATCATGCTTGGTTGTACCGCAGATGAGGTGAGCTGCTCTGTGGACATTGACAGTGTGCCTTCAGTAGAATGAGCAACACTGACGGTGGCTTCTGCTCTCGCAACGTGTAGGGCACCATGTTCAACTTTCACGTGCGCAAGCGCGAGACGTTGCTCAAGCATGGTGAGACCTTTCGTCAGCAGTGACTTTCGAACGCCGCTGATGGAACGTCTATGACATCTATCGCTGCTTCACCAAGCGAGCGGCTTTCACCCTTGGCTGTACCCCGAGCTGAGCGAGTTGTACGCACTCGAGGCAGCCAAAGACGAAGAGGCC